GATAATGGGCTCTCCCTGGGGCTCCTCTTGGATAGCCTGTTGTCCTGTGTCATGGGGATCCTGCTGTTTTGAATCTGTAGGTTCGTCACCTTCCCATGCTCCAACAGTTCATAAATATGATGGATGCTGGGGTGAGCCAACTCATAGTCCTGGTTCTGGGCCTGGGTGGTAGCTGGGTTGGTCAATTCGCTGACTTCCCTCATCCTCACTACCTAGGCGAGCTCTCCAGCCCTGCCCAGGCTAGCTCACCCAGTGCAGCCTGCAGCAAGGAGTGGGCCAGTTCTCCTGCTCTCAGGTCCTCAGATCAGGGGTCCCCACACTCACACTGCCAGGGCCGGCTCTACTGTTTTACCCAGGCAAGGTGCAGGGCCCTCTCTCCCCATGGCTGTAGGCGACTTTTGGGGGGAGGGGTCAGCTCTCCTGTTCTCACGCCCTCAGGGCTGGCTCCCTGGTACCCACTACAACAGGGTCCCCTCTAGTGTGCTGCTCAGGTGGGAGACAGGGTCTGCTCTCCTGTGCCCTGCAGCTGGTGAGGGGTTCTCTCACTCTCTCACCTGCTGCAGGTAGCAAAGGGCAGAGGGGGCAGGGCATGTTTCCCTCACCAATGCCACTGCATGGCCCTCAGGGCCAGCGCACCTGTGTCCAAGAATCTTTTTCTTTTAAAGATTCATTTTTCTTTTTGAATTATGAATATGTGTGTGTATCTGTGTGGGCAGATGTGCATGTAAGGGCAGGCACCTGTGGAAGGCAGGAGAAAAAAGTGTTAGATCCCCTGATGGTGGAATTGCAGGTGGTTGTTGAGTTGTCCAGTATGGGTGCTGGGAATTGAACTGGGGTCCTTGGCAAGGGCAGTATGCGTTCCATCCCTCTAGCTGTGTGCAGACTCTTAATTCATGTTTAGAGCACCAATCTCTCCCATTGGCAGAGCAGAATCCCTTATGAAAGAAGAAATTGTTGTAAAAATATGATCTGCATTTGATATGCCCAGATACGCTTTTATAAAGCTCCTTGAAGGAACGAGCCTCGTTGGTCCTCATAGTCTTGCTCTATGTGGAGTGTGGTATAAGTCTCAGACGCATTAGGTGAAAGTATAGAGTTTGGCCCCAAGAGGAATTTCTGTGATCTTGGTCTGCCCTTGGGCACATTAAATGATGGCTTCTCTATCTCTCCTCCCTCTGGTTTGGAGCAGTTCCCTGCCAGCTGCTTTCCAGGTCTCCGCCTGAGAGCAGTGTGGGGAATCTCTCCCTGGGGATTCCCATATCCCGGTGCAGTGTGCCTTAGCCTTGTGGCGTCTGTTTATCACGTTAGGCTTTCCTGGCAGTTCATCTGATGCTTCATGGATGTGCTCCTCAGTTCATAGTGTGGGTTTCCATGCAGCAGCCTCTGGGACTGAACCTTCTCCTTTGGCTCTATCTCTTCCTTGGTTTTGGACCCAGAGCTTTGTCCATCTCCCCAGCCTGTTAGGAGCGTCGGGAGGACCTTCTTCCACCAGTGGGCCTGGAAATGTTCTGAAGCTCTGCTCAGAAATCCCCTCTGGTTCCCAGGCTGCAGCTCCACCAACTCTGTTTGATGGTGACAATTTCTGTTCCCAGGGGAGGTGCTTAGCTTGCAATGGCTCCTCACACACCCTATCACCATTCTAATGCCATTTCCCCATGGGCCAGGGGGGTTCGCTTTTACAGCTTTTGCACTGGAGTTGGTTGCGGATGGCTATAAGATTGTGTTTACATTTTCTGCGTCCCTGGTGGGATACAGCAGGCACAGCAGTTTGCCAGTTGTTTTTGTTGCTTATCTCTAGTCACCACTCCAGGCCATCTTCCTCCACACAGCAGGAAACGGGCACATCCTGTTCCTCTGATTTGCAGTTTGCATCTGTGCCCTGGAGAGTAACTGAATTGTGGTCCTGGATTCCATGTTCAAAATCCTATGCCTGTGACAGTCACATGCATAGGTACTCAGTCACTCACAACTAAAGCTACTGAATAGTTTCATGAGATTATTCACTCTAGGCTCTTGTGTGTGTGTGTGTGTGTGTGTGTGTGTGTGTGTGTGTGTGTGTGTGAAGAGAGAGTTTGTCTACCATGCATGTGTGTGTATGCACTTACTCTTATGTGTACACGTGGAGGCCACAGGTTGACATCAATTGGGTGTCTGCCTCTAGGACTCTCCACCTTAATTTTTTGAGACAGGGTCTCTCACTGAAGCTGGAGCTGGTTGTCTCAGCTAGACTGACTGGTCATAAAGCCCCTGCGATCTACCTGTTTCCATCTCCCTACCCGAGTGCTGTGTTTATAGATGTTTACGTGCTTGCTGGGGATCTGAACTCAGGTTCTCATACTTGCAGAGCAGACAGTTTATCCACTGGGCCACCTCTCTAGGCCTTTTTAGCTATTTTTGCATAGCTTTTTGAAATCTGAAAATGACAATAGCAGTATCGAAATGAGAAACAGGATTGTCCCACTCTCAGATCAAGCACATGCTGGAGTGGGATTTGAAGGTAAGCATTTGGTGGTGCTTTAGGCCATTGCTCTGTGGGTGGTTGAACTTGACCCTAAGGAAAATGGCCTTAATGTGACATTTCCAGGATCCTCAGGAGCTGCAGCTTGCAGGTTAAGAACTTGACTGACTAGCCAGGCAGTGGTGGCGCACACCTTTAATCCCAGTACTCAGGAGGCAGAGGCAGGCGGATCTCTGTGAGTTGGAGGCCAGCCTGGTTTACAGAGGGCATTTCAGGACAGCTAGGACTGTTAGACAGAGAAACACTATCTCAAAAAACCAAAACCAAAACCAAACCAAACCAAACCAAAACAAAACAAAAAAAGAAAAAGAAAAAAGAGAGAGAGAATGTGACTGATTTAAAGGCTTCAAGTGAGCTGTTCCAAAAGTAAGTTGAAGGGTGAATCCTGGGTTCTCCTGAGGTCAAGGAATCATCACTACACCCCTCTGCCCTGTACTCAATCAAGCAGCCGTGCGCAGATGGTGTGGCTGCTCTAAGCTTGTTCCTTTAGGTGGGGCCCAGCCGTGGAGGTGAGGGAGTAGGTGTCCTCTGGCTGCAAAAGGCACTGTTGTGTGTGTGTGTACGGGTGAGGGCCTGATGCTCTCTGCACCTCTCCTGGGACATCCTGCAGTGTCTGGCCCAGCTTCGGAGTGTGCGCTTCACTGGACTTCTTTCTAGGTCGTTGCTTGTACATGCCTCTGTGCATGCTTCTGTGCCTTGCGTGCTGCGGCCCACTCCATGCTGGTGACACACTTCGGACTGGCAGCAAAGAACAAAGACAGTATTGGGTTGTAAACTTCTCTCTCTCTCCCTCTCTCCAAGATTATCCTGAAGGCAATAATTCGAGTGACTATCTTGTTCAAACAACAACGTATCTTCCACAAAACTTCACCTATTCGCCCAACCTCCCCTGTCCAGAGAAGCTGCCTTATATGCGTAAGTGTGAACTCATTTCTTTTGACGGGTGTCCTGTTCTTTATAAAGGATTAAAAACCACGTGGTTTGAGCATGTCATCAGATGGATCATTATTGTGGATGCTGACATTTTTACTGTATCTCATGTTTTCCCTCTTTTTAATTTTGGTTTTTGGAGGGACAGTGAGCACTGGTTTTGATGGTGGGTGGTTGAAAGCTGAAGAAAAATACAAAAGAGAACAAAAGATAATGAGAAACACCTGTATTTCTCCCATCTAGATTTGCAAAAATATTTAACTTTTTTTTTTTTTTAAATTTTTGAGACAGGGTTTCTCTGTGTATCCCTGGCTGTCCTGGAACTTGCTTTGTAGACTAAGCTGGCCTGGCCCAGAGATCCGCCTGCCTCTGCTTCTGGAGTGCTGGGATTTAAGACATGCGTCACCACACCAGGCTTTAACTTTTAAATTCTCTTAAGGCAGATGATAAAAGAGTAACTAATGTGATTTCTCTCTTTGGATATTAGAACATTATAGATTGAGCGGAAGTCTTCTCTTCCTCTCCCTATGTGGGTTCCCCTCCCCACCTCAGAAATGACCTGGTGTCTGTCTGTCTGATGTGTGCACATGCAGAGTACCGTAAACTTAGTTTTACATAGATAAATGGAGAGAGAAAATACATAGTTTCAAAGGCTTTAAGAATTTTCCTACCCAAGAATCTGTCTCTAATTGACAGTCGCTTACAAAGGAAAACTCAGTGTTCTCCAATGGAGTCTCACTGGGTATAAAAATTCCTCTTAAGGGCAGGGCCTATGCCCAGCTGTAGATGGCCAACACAAAAATGAACTCAATGGTATATATTAAATAATGATTTGTCTGGGCTTTCAAAAATGTATTTATTTATTTGCCTAATAGATTTTTTTTGCTTAAATATCATAGTTTCTGGTTTTGTGTTTTCATGGATTTTTGTGTGTGCAAGTGTGTGTTTCTGTGTCTGTATGTGTTTCTTGTGTTTTTTTCTTTGACTCTTTTTTTTTTTTCCTCCTGTTTGTTTCTTTGTCTTGTCTGGTTCTGGTTGTTGGTTTTAGTTTTATTTTTCAAGTTAGATTCTTATTTGTTTAATGAGAGAGAGAAAGAAAGGGTATGGATTTGGAGGATCTGGGAGGAGCTGAGGAGGGGATTCCATTCCTGCTGCCCATATGCAAAGGGTTCGGTTGAGGGGGACCAGAATATATTGTGTGAAGAAAAATCTATTTTCAATTACAAAAAGAAAGAAAGAAAGAAAGAAAGGAAGGAAGGAAGGAAGGAAGGAAGGAAGGAAGGAAGGAAGGAAGGAAGGAAGAAAGAAAGAAAACAACCAAAACAAAAAAAAATTAGATGGTTGTCTAATTACATGTTAATCTGTCACCTGAATTTTAGCTTGTTTTTTGAGAATTACCCACAGTCTTCCACGTGGATCTGAGTCGTTTCTCTGAACTAATGTGGAGAATGTCTGTGTATGCATGAAAATAAAACATGCTGTGTTTTATTTTCCAGTGCTCACCTGATGGGCAGTTAGGTGGTTTCCATTTTCTTTCTTTCTTTCTTTCTTTCTTTCTTTCTTTTTTTTCAAAATCACACAACTGGAAAAACAAAACAAAACAAAACCCTCTATCTTGCTTATCTAAAGAGCAGTGCAGCCTGGCCCTTCCTGCTCCCAGGTTCGTGCAGACTCCGGAGTTGATAACTCGAGGTTGGCTGCTGTGCTAGCTGCCTCGGGTTTCCAAGTTCACCCCAAGTTATTGCGATAACCAGGACTGATTTATATTGCTTTGATGTTGGTGGACTTTGTGGTCTTTCTAAAAAATTATTTATTTTAATTGTGTTTTGC